ATCTGTGGTATAGTTATACATTACTGCTCAGCAATAAAAGAAATGAACTATTAATTTACACAACAGCATCGATAAATCTCAAATGCATTATGCTAAGTGACTTTATATAGCATTCTGAAAAGGGAAAACTTCAGGGCTGAAGAACAGATTGGTGGTCGCCAGGGGCTGGGAGTGGAGGATAGGTGATCAGAAAGGAGTGGGGAAAGGGAAGGTTTTGGAGTGATGGAACTGTTCTGTATCTTGACTGTGCACCTGTTAAGACTCATAGACTATAATCCAAAAAGTGATTTACCATGTGCAAATTTTTTAAAAAACTTAAAAATTCTTCTTAATTGTTACATTGAATAATAAGAAATACCTAAAATCAATGACCTAAGTTTCTACCTAAAGAAGCTGACAAGAAAGCAAAAAAATCTAAGGTAAATAGAAGGAAGTAAATAGTAAACATAAAAGGAGAAATCAAAGAAATAGAAATAAAGAGAAAACTAAGACCACCAACAGCTGTGTTTCACTTTGTTGTACCCAGGGTTGCCACGAATCAGAGCAGACGCAATGGCAATCAACAACGACAAAAGAACAAAATTCCAGACAAAGTATCTGGGATTGTCTTCACAAAACTTTCTATTCTTAATGAAACTAAAATGCTTTCCTTATCACATGAACTATTTTTAATATTTATGAATTCTTAATATCTAAAATCATACTCACATGGCAAATTCTAGAGCACTAAGGACAAATAACAGATATAATCTCCTTTAAACAATCAGTCACCAGTTTTAACGGCGTTCCTTGAAGTAACACACAAGGATAACGATTTTTAAATTTTGCCAAGTCTACAAGATACCAGATTAACATCCCAGCAGCCTCTGGCGCTGGAAATGTGGAGAAGGAGAAACTGCAGATGAAACTGCCCCTTTTGGCCCCACCATCTCCCCCAGCCTCACGCCCTCCTCCAAAACTGATGAGAACAGTATAAACTTTGTGAGGACAGGAATCACTGTCACCTAGAAACCCAGAGGCCCTGTGGATCCCCAGAGCACACGCACACACTTGCGCCCAGAAGAACCTGCGCCCCGACGTCAGGAAGGGCCTCACCTCTCTCTCCACGGACTCTCCCGACCCATCCGGCTGCACCTGCAACTGCTCCCTCATGGACACGATCTCCTCTTCTTTGCTGTGCAGAAATGCCTGTGGAAGTGATGATGATGATGACACAGAGGCAATGCCACGTGAGAGATTCTCGCCACCGCAGACGGGAGACACCCTAACAAGCCTGCAGTTTACATACTAACACTCAGCTGCAAACCGTGTTTCCATTGAAGTGCCTTCTGTTTAAAATGACCTATTAGTTCGGTTTCTAAAAATCCATTACAGTATTTCCCAAGACGGTTTGTTTCAGAGCAATCACCAGTCTAAGTCAGGTGCTCTCTCACCTGCTTCTCATCCACCAATTCAGGAAGAGTTCCCATGCAAAGGAGCACTGGCTACTAGGGTAGCTCGGCCTCAACCTCCCTTCACTGCAGATACAGGTATGCGTCACTTAACGTCCATGATACGTTTTGTGAAACAGGTCGTAATGTGATTTGGATGTTGTGGGAACACCTGTGTCCATGGGGGCGCAGGGCTTGCAGGTGCACTGGCTTCAGGGGCTGATGTGCGGCACGCAGCCTGGGCAGCTCCCGTGCGCATAACTCAGGTGAACGCTTGGCTGGGTCCCACCCAGCTATTGTCCGGTTGTGGCCACCTTCTCTGCTAAGCCAGCTGCAGGGACGGCCAGCTCACCCAAGAGAACCCGCCCGGGGAGGAGACCATGTGGGCCAAGGGGGCTGAGGGCACCCGAGTCAGGGCTGGGGCATTGGGGCACATATCTGTCCATCGGCGCCCTACAGGACCACAGCAGGCAACACGCGGGGACTAGAAGGGCCAAGTCATGGGAGCCACGGGGGACCGGGGCAGGGAGTTTGGGCCTGCGCCTCTATCACCACAGACTAGGTGGCTTCCAGGCCGTGCACAGAGCCGGACAAAGTGGGGCTCCAACCTCAAGACAGGGGTCTGGCATCCTGGCACTCAGACACCTGGTTGCCCCGGCCCATGGACGTATACGCAGTGGGACACTGCCCAAACAGACGTTAAGAGGCACATACCTACACTTTAAAATCGTGCAGATGCTGCCTGGATGTGGGTCAGGCAGTAAATCACGACACTTCCTAGAATTTCTCTCAAGGCTGTTACTTCGTTCACCGGACCTGTGCCAGGGGCACCACACACAACGATTCTAATCTTAATTTGTTTCAAGGCCACCTTTGAAGGGTACATTTTCTTTATAACTTTGAAGAGTGTCTACAGCATACAGAGACTGCTTTTAATTTCTGCTTCAAACGTACAGTTACATTAAAATAATAGGGAAGATTTAAAATTAGATATTTTTAATCATGCTGGTGTGAAGGATAACAATGAGTGACCATCTACTAAAACAAACCTTCTCTTCCAGAAAGACCCCACCCTGTCAGGGCCTACACCAGTCTTTACTAAAACAAGCCCCCCACGCAGGTCAGGGCCTACACCAGTCTTTACTAAAACAAACCCCCACCCAGGTCAGGGCCTACACCAGTCTTTACTAAAACAA